TTGGTTCCCGTCAGGGCACATGGCCCAGGTTTCTGGCTCGATCCCCAGTAGGGGGCGTGCAGGAGGCAGCCAATCGATGTCTCTCTCTCATCGATGTGATGTTTCTATCTAGCTTTCTCCCTTCCTCTCTCTGAAATCAATAAAAAATATATATTTTTTTTAAAGCCCAGCTGCTGCCCGGCCGGGTGTGGCTCAGCGGTTGAGCATTGACCTAGGATCCAGGCAACCGGGATTCAATTCCAGGTCAAGGCACATGCCCGGGTTGCGGGCTCCATCCCCGGTCGGGGGTGTGCAGGAGGCAGCCGATCAATGACTCTCTCATCGTTGATGTCTCTATCTCTCTTTCCCTCCCTCTCCTTTCCTCTCTCTGAAATCAATAAAGATATATTTTTAAAAAAATAAAAATAAAATCCCAGCTGCTGTTTTGTTGTTACTTTGGGGGATGGTTGTTTTTTGTTTGTTTGTTTTTGCAGAAATTAGTAAACTTATTGTAAAATTCATATAGGTTTTCAAGGGTCCCAGAATGGTCAAAAATACTTCTTAAAAAGAGCCAACTTTGATGACTCACATTTCCCAATTTTAAAAAATCACTGTAACACTAACCAGTATGTACACTGTAGTACTGGCATAAGGATAAACATAAATAAGTTAAATATAATTGTGAGTTCAGAAATAAACTCTTGCATTCACAGTCAATTGATTTTTCAATAAGTGTGCCAAGATTCTAGGATAACTGGACATCTATATGTAAAAGAATCTGGATCTCTAAATAAAACCGTATGCAACTCAAAATGGATAATGTATTTAATGTAGGAGCTAAAATTTTTAAGACAAAAACACAGGAACAAATCTTAATAACCTTAGATACTCTCTGACTACCTAGATATACTAAAAGCACAACAGACAAAAGAAAAATTAGAAAAATTTAACTTAATTTAAAAAGCAGCCACAGACAGTAGGTGAACAAGAGCTGGTATATTCCAATAATAGTTTACGTAAAAGAACAGGCTAGATTCGGCCTGTGGACCATGGTAAGCCAACCCCTGGTTTCGAGGAGTAGGGAAAGTTATCTGAGTACAGCAGTGAGAAAGAGGAAAGCAGCCCCTGACATCCACAAGCTGGCCTGCTATTCCCACATAGGCCTTGTTCAAATTTTCTGCTCTGTACAAGGCTAAGGCCAGCAGTCAGGTTTCAAATTTGAAAATTCTACTGAACCTTGAAGGTCAGGCTCACGTGCTACTATCATACGAAGACCTTTCAACCTGGCTAGAAGTAAACACACTGCCCTCTGAGTTTCTATATCACCTTGTGACAGATCTCTTTTTAACACACTATTTTGCATTTTTCCTAAACTCTAGCCGGGGGAAGCTGCCTGGCTGCCCTTGGTGGAGACACCAGAGGCGGCGCAGGCTGTGTCTGTCCCAGGCTCCCAATGCCGTTGCATGGCCGCAGTGTTCCGCTAACCACGAGCCCAGCTTGTTCTTGGCTGGAGCTGGAGTGAGTCTACAGTCTGCGCAGACGAAATGGCTGAGCCACACAGACTATGTCCTGGATGTCCCCACTGTGCTCCTGCTACACAGGCACTTCCCACATGGGACCTCAAGCCACACCGCGCAAGTAGGTGGTAGGCTGAGGCAAGCCCCTGGGGGGCCTGTAGGTGAGGATCCAGGGTTACAAACACCGGAGCCTATGACCGGATCTGTCATCTTCCCTGCAGGCAGGCACCTCTTGCACACCTGATGCTGGCCTATCTAATGATGACCAACCTCCTGATGCCAGCCTGTCCCTGGACCCACCACCCCTCACCGTGCCCCTGACACACAATGCCTCTGACTAGTGGCTACAGGATGCCTTCCACATCAGCCTCTGAAGAGCTGGGGGCGGGGGGTATGGAACATGCAAAGGGTTCAGAAACTTACCCCTTTAGCAAGTACTCAGGCGATAGTGCTCACTTTACCCTGTATCACCTCACTTCACATGAGGGCCAGGCCTGGGCCCTTAAGAGGCAAAACTGCCACAACCCCTCTCTCCTGTCTTGGGTTAGCTGGCACTGGGGGGGACACCTGGGCTACAGCCTCTGCCCATGCACTGGACCTCCACTTCTGCCACATGCGTACACCCCAGCTTGGCCAACCTTCAGTTTGGCAGTGGGACCCAAAGAATCTTGACTCCTGTTGGCATCTCTGGGATTGGGATAAATACCTGGCTCCCACCTCCTTTTCACCTTTTGCTGCTATTGGCAGCTGCTGGCATGGTGGCATCTCACCACTGTTCCTGGGTTCCACTGACTAGACAAGGGCTGCAGGACCTATTCCTGCACCCACCCACAGCGGGGAGTGACAAGACTCCATGCCGAATATTTAAGTTTAGGGGACAGCCTCTTGGGCACTAGATAAATAAATACTCTCTGAGAAAAAAAAATTTTAGAAGCTGTAACTATTCTTTGCACTTCTTCACATTTCCTATAGTATCAAGTGCTTTTCTCGGCAGATGAAAGGCGCTTAAATAATTATAGATACTGTGTGAGTGCCAATACAAAAATATTCATAACTAGACCACAGAAAAGATGTTAGGGCAGAAATAGAATAGTGGGGACTAAGTGTAGTTATAAGAAATATTAATCATGCTCTGTTAACTGTGGTTGTTCTGATTAGAGAAAGCACATTCTAACTTGGCTGAGAGTTGTATGCCCCGGGACATGGGAGTTAACCTTGGAACGGGGTCCATTCTCCATTAACAACCTTGTTCCCTAAACACTGGAGTCGAAGAGGCACCCGCCCTTTGCGACCCCCAGCCTGCATTGCCTGTAACCTGCAATCATTATACTTTGCCTACTTGCCTGTAATTCCTCCTTTCTTATGTAATCTTTGTCCTACTCAATATAAGCGGCTGGCTTGTCGGGGAGTGGTAGGGCAGATTTTCATGGATGACCCACTGCTCTCCCATACTGCCGGCATTATTGGAACAAACGCACATATAGGATTCAACCCTGTCACTGCTTAATTGGCTCAAGTAGTGACAGGCAGCCCCGACCCATTCGTTGTCTGATTTCAAAGACACAATTTATAAACATTGGTAAAAAAAAAATAGTTTTTAATCCTCTGCAAGGCATTTTAGCAAACCTTAAACTATTTGAAGTGTGTGAAAGTATAGAATAATCTTACCTGCATACATCCTTCATCAACATTGCCCCTTTCAGGGTCAATTCTGAAATTTGCAGTTTTTTTAAAGTGATACATCAAAGGAAGTGATTTGGATCGATTTTCCATAATAAACGAAACCTCTGAATGTTCACCAATGGAACAAGGTGGGAAATTAAGAACACCTCCTGAATCAAACTGTACCAGAACAGGAAGTCCTGAGCCTGTCAGTGCTAATTCCAGTTTCTGAAATTGATCATCTGTAAAAACAATAGTAGCTTTTTAACATAAAAAGTGTTTGGGGAGTTCAAAATATACAGTATTTGCTCAGTCCAGAAAGTGTCACCTGAAAGACCTGATGAAATATAGGTAGCTCATTCTGTTATAGCATAGTAAGAAGCTAGGAAAATTCCAAGACAAGCCAAACTGGGAAACTGAGACAGTTAGTTAAAAGCAGTTTGTGGCCACCCAGTAAATCCTATCTTCTCTAAACCAAGGAAACTTAAGAGTAAATGGTTTGTACTTCTCCCTAACCAGAGGGTAAGGAGATAGATTACAGAAATCCAATTAAGTGCCATTTGCCAACCCCATCCAAGGACAGACAAACTGAGAGAATAAATCTGATTTGGGTACATCAGCATAAAGCTGATGAATATTCTACTGATTCACCCCTAAGACCTCCCCTACACACCCAGCCTCTAAAACCCCCCAAAATGAAGGTCCCAATGTCCTCTTCTTCCAGGGAACATGCCCATGCCATTCCCTTTCCCTTCTCCTTCCCCCACAAGCACATATCCTCTAACTTCTAAGGAACCCCATGATATTTTTACTACGGTTAATAAATTCTTGCTTTATTTTCTACACTTTGTCTCTTGCTTGAAATCTTTCCTTCAAGAAGACAAGAACCAAGGTCTCCTCATCTCCCTGGTAACAATTCAATAGTTCAACAAAAACAGTGAGTGCCTTCTCTTTGCCAAGTAGTCTTCTAGGCTTTGGGGATAACAGCAGTGAATAAAATAGACAATGTTCCTACTCTTATGGACTTTACATTCTAGTGAGGTAACATTGACAATAAAATAAATAAGCAAATATATACCATTTCAGAGCTGGTAAGTGCTATGGAGAAAGGTAAAGAAGGGTGAAGGGGAACAGAATTTGTCACTCCCAAATATGTTTCTTTGGCATAAGGGATCTTTTAGAAAGAACAGACACAGGAAAAGCTCTGGAAACCTAGTAGAAGTTACCCTTTTGTAAGAGACATTTACATTTACAAGGGAAATATCCATTTGTAAGGGTGTCTTCCTCTCTGTACCTAGAAGGAACTCTATCAGTGGAGAAGGCAAGGACTTAAATCTGCATAACAACCCTATCCTCTTTATAGTGGTCTTCCTGAAAAACCTCCCATAACTGGCCCCTCACCCCCACCATCTTTTGTCTTTAGCTGGAGATGGTATTGAAGGTGGTAGCTTGGGCCATTTCAAAGAGTTATTCAGTTTTTCTGGGTATCTCCCATGTATGCTGAAAATATACATGTTATTAAACTTCTGTTTGTTTTTCTCCTGTTATCTGTCTTTTATTATAGGGGGTCTCGACCAAGAACTTAGAGGAGCAGAAGGAAAATTATTTTTCCTCCCCTACAAGGGTAAGACAGAGCACATCATCTTGGAGCTGCTCTTTTATATGGGGGAATCCAAACAGGCATCTCTGGCCCAGCTGGTGTGGCTCAGTGGTTGAGCGTTGACCCATGAACCAAAAGGTCAGCTGTTTGATTCCCTGTCAGGGCACATTTCCATGTTGCAGGCTCAATCCTCAGTAGGGGGCGTGCAGGAGGCAGCACATTGATGTTTCTATCTCTCTCTCTCCCTCTCCCTTCCTCTCTCTATAAAAATCAATAAAAACATTTTTTTTTTAAGAAGTCCTCTCTGATCTCTGATAGGAAGACATTTGAGCAAAAGTATAAAGGAACTCTGGAAAAAAATCAGGTGAAAATCTATTAAAAGTGCATTCCAGGTAGAACAGCAAGGACAAAGACTCTAAGATAGGAATTTGCTTGGCATGGAAACAAATATGTCTGGGTAAGAGTAGTAGAAGGATGGTGAGAAATGGTCAGATTTAAGGTATATATATATATTTTTTTGTTTGTTTGTTTGTTTTGGAGAGAGAGAAAGGGAGAGAGAGAGAGAGATTTGTTGTTCCACCCACTTACGCACTCATTGGTTATTTCTTGTATGTGCCCAGATCAAGGATGAAACCTGCAACCTTGGTGTATCAGGACAATGCTCTAACCAACTGAACTACCTGGCAAGGGCTAAGATATATTTTTGAGGGTAGAGTTAACAAAATTTGCTAATGTGTTGGATGTAGGATATGAAATTAAACACACGATCAATGAGCAACTGAAATGATGGAATTGCCATTTCTTCAGACAAGAAAGAATGCAGGGGGGCCAGGCTATGGGGAAGCTAGGAGTTCTTTTTGGGACATGTTAAGTTTGAGATGTCTGGTAGACATCCAAGTGAAAATGTCTACTAGGTCATTTAATGTATTTACAAGTTTAGAGTAAAGATGAAGGAAGAAGTTTTGAAGGTATGAGGCGAAAAGAGGTGGGTGACATTAATCTCATATTGTGAGAACGTGAATGAATGGAGGAATGCAGCCGGAATGGAAAACAGCTTAAAGGACCCATTCGGGGTTAGTGATTGTAGATTAAAAAGTGAAACATCACAGGATGGTTTTGTGTTTCTCTCCATCACAATTAGCGTCCCAGGTGCACACACAGAGTAGGCTGAGATTAAAGATTTTCCACTCAGACACTATGGGAAATGGGCCAAGATATTAAAGTGTAATATGGGAAAAGGTGACTAAAATAATGGACAATGGAATATAAGCTGGGTAATAACTGTGGACAAAAAGGGGCCACATGCTAACCTGACTAGCTCAGGGAAGGCCTGCGTGGCAGCCTTGCAAAGTCAGAGACCTAAAGTAACCACAAAGGATGGTCTGAAATGAAAACTTTTTAAACTAATAAGCAGTTTATGGTGGGTAGTCATTTCCTAAGCTTGTATCTTCCCTGACGAAGGTCAACGTTTACTTTAACTGAGCCTGTCTACTGTCTTTTTGCATCTACAAAAACATATAGTTGAAATTTCAAAGTAATTTTCCTTTTTCTGGACCCCTCAGAGCACAGGTACTGCTCTGCAGAGACCACAAATCCCCTCATTGTTATTGAGTTAATTGTTGACTGTTAACTATCCTGTACCACCTAAGTAAAAGAAGTATGTCCATCATTTTACCTTTTATCCAATCCCAGAGGTCCCCCCCACTTTGCTTTCTCCCGCCTCCCTAATCTACCAGCAATGGATTTCATGTAACCCACTTATGTCTCCCCCTTTGATTGTAATGCATAAATCAAAGTGCAAAACTGCCATTCTCCGGAGCATTATCTCAATCCCTTGAGATTCTGCTTCCCGGCATTTGTCGACAGTTTGGCTCAAATAAACACACAAAAAATTCTTCAGAGGTTTGAATGTTTCTTACGTTGACACAACAGAAACACGAACTGCTGGAGATACTAGAGAGAAGGTAGGAGCTATGAATTGTATGTTCTAATTGTGTGAAAGAGCAGTTTTGCAGAGAGAGCAATATAACTAGAATCTATAAAAAAGGGTTTGTATTTCTGCGATTTTCAACTTTTTTCATCTCATAGCACACATAAACTAATTACTAAAATTCTGCGGCACACAAAAAAATATATTTGTGCCTATCTGACAGAAAAAAATAGGCATAATTTTGATCTATTCACACCAGATGGCTATTGTGTTGGCTGTCGTCATTTTTTATTTGACAGTCTAAGCAAAAAGAGGTCAGTGCCCCTGACTAAATAGTCAGGTATTATATGTTTTAAAAATCTGTGGCACACCAGTTGAAAATTGCTGCTCTAGAACATCATATTTATCTAATGTTATTTAAAAATAATAATTTCCCCTAAATTATGCTTGGAAGATTACTACGCAAATGATTCTGAGGTTATTTTCTTTACATGCCTCAGAAGACACTTTAAGGTCTCTTGATTGTTTGCATTTTCGTTCTATTCAATATTATATATTTTTATTATACTGCATCTACAAATATTGATGCCCAAACTTTTAAACAATTTAAACTGCTATACATTCGATGATTACATTCATTTCACACTTACTTTTGATGGTCTTAGTGTTGTCATCTCTCAAAAACCCATCCTTACTTCCTACAGAGTCAAATCTCAAAAAGATAGCATAGTCTTGCCTGTGTGAAGGGTCATTATCCTTTTTACTATCGGCGACTATCCTGTAAAAAAATTACAGTTATTTGTAAAGCAAAGATAATGCACTTTGTTACCTCTCACAAGGGAATCAACTAAACCCTTAAATCTATGCAAGGAGATGAAAGTTTAGAAATAAAAAATATGACCGTGATTCATTTTCCAATATTACTGCGCAGGCATAGAGACTTGCCAAAAGAAGGCCACAAAATGTAAGTATCCCCAAAATGAGTTCAAGACCACATTCGCAAGACAAGAGTAATTTACAAACACTAAGTCATCAGGGTCCAGCTCTAATGCCACTTTCTATGTGAAGGCTTTCCTTTCTATGCAGAATTCACTGCTGGCTAAGGACTCTGTTCCATTCCCTAAAATAGTCCTTCTTAACCCGGGATGTAATTGCAAACCTCTGTTACTTAAGTGTTCTTCCCATAAACTAAGCACATATTGCTAGGCACACTCTTGTTAGAGGAGAACAGGTAATTTGGGGAACAAGATTTGGAGAGAAGACAAGAAAAGCTGTGAAGACAAGTAGGGCCAAAGACAGAGATGGGTGACATCCCAGGCCTGCGCGCTGGCGATCTTGACTTGCCTTAACTAGAGGTCAGACTTTTTAGCAGTGGATACTCAAAAACATACACAAAAGGCTGATGTGAAATATTCCATAAGAATGCCAAGAGAATGTTGAGAACACATGTAATTCGATTCATATTCATACGTATGAGTTTATGCTAGACTCTGTTACCATGCTGCCATGAAAAAGAAATGCCTACTTAGCCCAGCTGGTGTGGCTCAGCGGCTGAGCGTCATCATGAACCAGAAGATCATGGTTTGATTCCTGGGTCAGGGCACAGGCCCGGGTTGCGGGCTCGATCCCCAGCAGGGGGCGTGCAGGAGGCAGCCGGTCAATGACTCTCTCATCACTGATGTTTCCAGCTCCCTCTCTCGGAAATAAAAAAAAAAACACATATTTTAAAAAAAGAAATACGCACTCAGAATTTCAAAAATTGCGTATTAAACAGTCTTACAGATTCACCAAAGCAATTCCTGTATGAAGGTGTGATAAATAAGGCAGGTACAGATTGTGCAGACAGAACCATTACTCGAAGCATTTCCCTCCTTAACCCAACTCAGCCTTCAGCAAACAGCTGGTGTCACCAAGGGACCCTACAGCCACAGAACGGAGGACATTAACCATTCCCTGCCTTCTCACAAACAAGGGTAAACATATGTACAGTTAGATGGGTCACTGCAACCTCTCTAGTGTAGCTGAAGTTGCTACTACCTACTTAAAAGAGCATTTCCGAATATATTTTCAAACTAAATAACCAAACCAAGGACTCAGCTACGAAAAATATCCGCTGGCCAAAGTCCTCAAAGTATGCATGAATTTCAGCAACCAACTGTGATCCACCCCAGCAACTGCTATAGGCTTAATATTCCTGATAGTCAGCAAGCGTTTTGCCCTGGCAGGAGCACTGCGCCCTCTCCGGAGGCACCCATAACACTGCTGCCACCGGCCATCACCTCACTATATCTGCAGGGACATCAGGGACTCAGCTGCAGGCTGGTTTGGAGCCACAATCCAAAACAACCCAAAATTTCTACTTCCACCATCGCATTTCCACAAGGCTTGGAGAGATTTTTAATTTAACATGAAGTATTTAGAACGATATTTTTAAATATTAAGCATGTTAGAAATACTTAGAAGCATAATTTTAAAAATCCGATTTGTGCCTTCTGACAAGTTTTAATGTGAAAGTCAATCTGATGAATGTATGGTTAATATACTTTCTGTTAACAAGTAACATCACAATGGAATTAATTTTTGCTTACTTTGGGCTGAAACAAAATGTAATTTTAGTCTTTTGATAAGGTAGTAACCTCCCTTCATTAGGAACACAGGAGATAAAAGTGGTAATATCCATGTTCCTTATTTGTCTTATGTAGGTGAGATTATTTATAGCAACATCTGTTCTTTGTTGAATATTTGTGCCCTGTAGTATAAAACCAGAAATAAAAGAGTATTAAGGCAAAACACTAGCAAAATATTTTAAGAAGTCATAAAATAATTATAGAAATTCCAGCATCTAGAAGATAGGGAATATAGGTGCCTTTAAAGTAACATACATAAATTTGATCAAGGTACATCATAAAATTTAAAGAACTTTTAAAAACCTGATGAGAGTAGAAACCCCACAATTAGCCACTAATTTATAAGAAACACTTGTCTGATTTACTTCAGATATATTACTATCAATGTTAGTTTAATTTACTGAACTTTTTCGGGTTACTCTTGAAGACACATGAAATGAAATTTTATCTAACTGCATGTAAAAACATAGTTAGAATAGACCGGCTGGCGTGGCTCAGCGGTTGAACATTAACCTAGGATCCAGGAGATCGCAGTTCGAATCCCGGATGGGGCAAGAGCCCAGGTTGCGGGCTCGATCCCCAGTAGGGGGCCTGCAGGAGGCAGCCGATCAATAACCCTCATCACTGATGTTTCTGTTTCTCTCTCTCCTTCTCCCTTCTTCTGTCTGAAATCAATAAAGATATATTTTTTTAAATAAAATAATAAAATAAAATAATAAAATAAAATAATAAAATATAGTTAGAATAATTAAACAATTAAACAGCTTGTTGGGAAAATGAACTTGAGAATTAATTTTCCCATCTTCTGCAGCTAGGACTTCTTGATCAATAAACCCTTCCTTGCTCTTAAACAAACAAAAACAAAAGGCAGCTTGTTGGTTATTAGTAAGTTCAAAACAATCTGTTTCAAAATGTAATACCTGATGCACTATTTACTTACCAGTTCTTCTCCAACTGAGTCATTTTGCATGATAGCCACCCAATTTATAAGTTCTGGGCTATTATTGTATAGAAGTGCATGTTCAATCTTTGATGTTCCAAAGAAAGTAGAACCAAAGCGTATGCATTCCACATTTTTATTATCATTCATGTTTAACAATTCAATAATCTGCTCAACCACACGAACTTTGATATTCAAGAATATGTCTGGACGACCTTGCAAACTCACTCTACAAGGTAATGAATTATACACATATATTTTCATTAGAATTCTATATACTCTTTCTCTTAAATATTTATATAAACAGAACTTTTATAAAATCACATTATAATTAAAATTCAAAGGCCTTAGAGCAGTTCCTTTCGCATACGTGCAAGAGACTGTCACGTCCTCTGAATCTGCACAGTAGAATGGCATATGTGCAACCTAATTCATTGTCTCCATGAAAAAACAAAGTTGGGGAACAATCACAGGAATTGACCCAGAAAAGAACATACTGGTATATCCATATCACCAATTATTTTGTAAATATTAGAGTTAGACAGGATAACACACGCCTCTAGTGCTAGAATTCTGAGGTTCTTTTTCTAACTCATCCTACTCAACAAGGTACAAACTGAGAATATGGGCTCATCTCCATCCTAATAACCCAGTTCCCTACTAAGTAAAGTACCTCAGCAAAATTCCACTCTTTGCTGAAATGAATATAACCCCCCATAAAACTTCACTTCCCAGACGAATTTGGATTCCCTTTTTGAAACTGACCCCCACCCCAAATGTATCTTTCTCTGGCCCAAATGCAATCCTTTTGAGTCTCGCCCCATCAAATACCACAAACAGCTGACCACTCCACAACCTAAGTCCCTACACTATCTCTGCCACACTGCACATGGCTCATACCATATCTCGGCACATCTCTCCTCCCTTAGCTTCCTTGACACCACACTTTCCTGGTTTTCCTCTCACTTATTCAGACTCTACCTTCTCACTGTCCTAAGACTTGGATATTTTGTAAACTCCATGACTAATGGTATTTCTCTCTTACCCTTTCATACTCTACCTCCTCAAAGTAATTTTCAACACTTCATGCTTCATTGACAACTTTTCAACAGGCAACCCTCAAGACAATATATACCTATACCAAATTGTTTTCTGGGACTCGAGATAAGTAAATCTTATAGGCTCCACAGTATTCCTGCAAAGTAAATCAATTCCAACATTTCAAAACTGAACTCAGATCTTCCCCCACAGACCTGCGCCTTCTCTTACCGTCTCCTTCTATAACCAGTCACTAAATCTAGTCAAATCTACCTCCACGACATGCCTCTAATCTGCAGAATTATCTGCATGCTTCCATTTTGTACCTTAGCCAATGCCTTTATCATTTCTCTTTTACTTTATTATTACAGATTCTAGTCAGGCTACCCATTCCTGCACTCCCTGATTTGTTCTGCACACTAGGCATGACCTTTCTAAAATGCAAACTAGTTAAGATACTCCCATCTTAAAACCTTCCTGAGATTCCACAGCCTTCACAATAAAACCTAAACTATCAGGGCTCACAAATGTTTCTCAAACACTTTCTTTTGGCTGTGACCTTCAATAAGAAATATGTTTTACATTCCAATGTAGGAAGCACAGACACACACGCACAGATCTATAAAAACATGTGCCCTTGCTAGGTGAGATACATTCTGGTATTTTCCATCTCATTGTTTTAATACTGGTGGTGTCCCATTGTAATAACTGCATATCCCACTAATGAACGAGACATACAACATTAAATAACGCTGTCCTATGAGGTGATTTACTGGACCCTACACTATTCTGCTTTCCTGGTCTGATCTCACATCACTCCTTACCTCCACCTCTTTGCCTCTACATTCCTCAGATCTCTCAGCGTGTAACACTGTCTATTCACTGCTAGGAGTTCAAGTCTTCTACTTACTCTGCCTGAAATCACTCCTCTAACCCACTCTTATCACCAACACCCAACACCCACCTACCCTACACACACACACACAGCCCAAATCACATCACTGCTCTGTGTCTGACTTACTCCTACTCACCAATAAGTGTTTAGTTCAACTATCACCTCCTTAGAGGAACACTTACTTGATCCAGTCCCTCACCCCTACAAAATCCAAACTAGGGCCTCCTGTTATGCACACCCATGTCATCCTCTGGTTCTTCCCCATTTTTGAATCCCTAATGCTTAGCAAACATTAGAGACTCAATGAATTAATGCTGACTGAAAAAACAATGAAACTAATGCACACTCAAAGACAATAGGCACATCTGAAGAGAGAAACAGGAAAGCAGGAAAGTATTAGGCACTACATTAGAATGAAGAACCACAGCACACTCACTTGGCCGCTTCATTTACAACTCTGGGCTGGTCTGCACAGAAATCCACTTTAATAATCTTTGAGGACTTGGGCTCCACAATACCATTAGTTGGAAAAATGACAATGGGTAATTGACCCTGGTATTCTGTCATAAACATACCTAAGGAAAACAAGAACAGATGGTTTATATCTGGATCCTTACACTATTACATTCAAACCCTTAGTTGGGGACAGACAAATATCACAGAGTATATGGTCTATTGAGGACCAAGAATTACAACTCTGATTGTAAGTCCAGGTTCTAGGGCCACCAAAGATATGTGAGCCTAGTGTTAGGACTCAACCCTCATCAATCAATAGCTAAAATAGATTGTCTGCTTACTCTGCTTACTGTGTTCAGATACTCATGCTAAGAGCTTTGCATATGGTATCTTATGTAATCCTCATAATGATTCTATGATACAGGTTCAGTCATTATCTCCATTTATAAATAAGGAAATAGAAGCTTAGAAAGGTTGAGTGTCTCGTCCAAAGACACACAACTATTGTGGTAGATTAGATGGTTGACCTCAGTTCTTCACCCTTCTCTGCATCCTTACTGTCACCCTACCATGAACCAAGTATGTTTTCTTACCCCTTGACTTTGAACTTGATCGTGTGATTTGCTTTGGCTACTGGCATGTGGCTAGAAGTGACAACATGCCAGCTCTAACCCCAGATGCTCTCTTGCAGTTCTACTATGAAAAGTGTTTCTCTTGAGTAGCTGCTGTCCCTTTGGCCTGTGCCCCAGAATGAGCAAATATGTAGCACAGCCACCCAGCTGACTCACAGCCCTGCCGTGAATAGCAGAACAGCCCCAGCTGCCTCAGCCTGAAGCAGAGCCACCCACCTGAGCTCAGCTTAGATGAGTCAAGTTCCAGCCAATCTGAATACAAATGAAAAATTTAAAAATAATTGCCTTTTTGAAGGTACAGAGTTGTAGGGTGGTTTGTTACATAGCAATATTTGACTACTATAGCTGGTAACTAAATAATTGAGCTGGGATTTGTCACCTGGGTGTTTCTGACCATAGGACTCATAGCCACTGCCACTTCTCTATAGATGAATTAATGCAGTTCACACAGGGAAAGGGCAAAAGGAATGGGTTTCTAGAATCAAATAACCTATGTGAAGGCGGCTATAAAAATTTCTTCTTCTGAAAGTAGAAGTGGTTTAAAATTTACAGTTATGTTTATATTAGAGCGCACAGTCCTTGAGATCAGATACTATCTTTTTCGTATCTGGGGTCCTGGCACCCCACACTGTGCATAGCACAAAGCTGTGCTCAAAATATGTCCAGCAAATAGAAGCAGCCAGTCACAAGTTTCTTAAATGTCATTATATAATATTAACACAAATGAGCATACTGCCAGCATAAACAACTTTGCAAATTCCCAATTCCCCAGTTCTAAATACGTTTGATGACATTTTCCAAAATTATTCATTTAACTTAGGAGAAAATATTAGCATAATAAAAGTACTGAAAATATAAAAAGTCAATAAAACCTTTTTAAGGACAGAAATGTCCTGATTGAAAAGGCAAATTCACAGTAAGAAAAGGTGTTAAGCCAATCATTTTAGGGAAGTGTTAATGGCATAATATTTAAGGTTTATTTTGTCATAAAATAAAAATTTATAAAATTATATCCATTTCAAATAAATATTATTGACTCAGTTCTCTAGAAAAAAAGAACTACATGAGTTCAGTTAAGGCTGAGTCAGTGTAATGGTTCCTATATTGTAGCCACTTTGATATAATTTGATAAGTTTAAGTGATGTTTCAAAAGCTTATTCAGAACAACCCTAAAAGCAAAGAAACATTGTTCAGTCTTCTAAATATATTAAAACAGTGGGTACACAAACATTACTGTGTCATATACAACTTATTAAGTAGTATTAGCTGATACTTTGAAAAGTAGTACTCATGAATAGTTGACTGCTGTATTTTTTTTAATTGCTAACAAGAGGAACAAGGACATCATCCAAAGAGAAGAGTGTCACTGAAGGAAAAACATTACAGATTAAATTTTGTATTCAAATTTTCATTTCTTTTCAGATAGGGCACTGGCTAATGTGTGAAGAATGAACTAGGAGCTAAGAGGAAACGTCAGAGAAATAACTTAGGCTGGTGCGATTACTAGGCAAGAGAAGATGATGGCTTGTGACAGAGAAGTGACAATGGGACAGAGAGAAGTAGAATTACTGACATAATCAGGAAGTGAACAGACAGGATTTAATAATTAACCAAAGGGGTAGGAGGTGAAAAGGAAAGGAGGTCTCAAGAATTTTACCAAGTTCCTGACTCTCCCAAATATATGGTGGTGGCATTTGCTAAAAAAGAGAAAAGACCAAGTTTGGGGGAGAAGCTGAGGAATTTCGTTTTAGACATATGAAGTTTGAGAAACCTGAAGGAAATACAAATTATAATATAGACTTCAGTGAAGTAACAGGAATGAAAATGATTGCCTAGGGAAAGCACAGTGACTGAGGAGGCAGGAGGGTCCATGGCAAATCCTAAGGAGCACTCATTTAGTGTACCCCAAAAATGGCCATCAGTCCACAAAAGAGAATTAAAGAGAAAAAGGCAGCAGAAAAAGAACAATTTTAACATCAAGAGTTGATATTTACTGAAGACTTACTATATGTCAGAGTGTGCTAAGCATTTTATTAATCACCACAACTGTAGAGGGCAGGCACTATGTATGTCTCTAATGTGTGAGTGAGGCTGTGGATGTAGGGCCTCCCAGCCAGGAAATGTTGTAACCAAGATTTAGGCCCTGGAAGACCTCACATTATTTTTTATAAGAGAGTGAGGGGTCCAAGTTCATTTTTTTCAAGAAGACAGTGGCCAACTGTGTCAAATATTGCTAAGAATCCATGTAAAATAAACACGTGGACTTATCCACTGATGAAACTTAGGAGAGGGCGTGGGATGTGAGAACACCCACAGCTGTGGCTGAGATGAAAGGTCTTTTGCACAAACCTGAATGTTTTGGAATCGAAGTTGCTCTACCTTCTCTAGAAAAGCAGATCGGGCACTGGGTGGCAAAACATTGTTACCTTGCCTTTACTCCTCCAAAATACAGGTAAACAGTCTGTAGTTTTAGAAGATGCTACCGAAATCAACAGTTACATACTCAAGGCCGTTGTTATTTGCTATGTATGTTTTTTCTCCCTTAAGTGTCCTTAGGTCTAAAGCATACCAAAGATGTACCAGATTCCACCTATCTCCAAATGCATAAGTTTTGGAGACTTTCAGAATGTTCGTATGTGATTGAATGGGTTACTTCTGAAATCACCATTCATTGAAAGCTTAATGGTTCTTTACTGAAACTCTGAGAGATCACTGAAGCAAATCAATTAAACAAAAGTTTATTGAATGTCTGCTGTATGTCCAGCATGGTATTATGTAGGAAAAGTATATAGAGATCCCATGGCATTAGCTTCCAAGCAAAGGAAAATATGCATTGAGAATAAAGAGTGGTGCTTCTCTGGGTAGTTAGGGAGGATCCCAAGGACCACACATGGGTTGGGTCCAATTTGGCAAATTTCCTGATATACAGATGATATCAGGCTTTTCCAGGCAGTAAAGTAGAGAGATGATGCTGATGATCAGGGAAAGGGAGAGAGTGGGCATTAGAGCAAGAGAAAGGTCATATCTTTTGTGCCAAATGAACCAAATAAACCTTAAGGATGATGGGTGCTAAGGTAGCTGTTCAAACTCAGAAATGGGGTGGAAAGGTCACACTGGGGACTTTAAAGGCTGTTCTATGTCATAAAACTGTAGTAGAAAAAGTCTACTCAAATATTCAAGAATACCGAGGGGAAGAGTAAATGATTGCAATTCAAAGCAAGCTAAAATAACATGCTTTTTCCATCTTCAAAGATAACTGAGAAACAATAAAATCGTAAGAGAGAACATGGAGTTCACCAGCTCACGGAGTACTAATAGCAGAGGCATCTTAAAAACTGAACCATGTCTTTTCAAAATGAAAAGATAAGTGCTACTTTGCACAGTCAGGAGTGAACTTTGGAAACATTCTAAGGGTGAGAAAACAAAATGTTCAAATAGCATTTGGCTAAATCCATGGAGGGGTACTTCATAATGGCCTATAAAAATAAAACATCAGGAAGTTGTTACATACAATAACTTTGGGGTCTACAAAACCAAAGATAATAATCAAAGTGACACTGCCAAAGAGAGTAAACAAAGCTGTACAAATCATGAACCTGCTGAATGTAGCTTTTTATGCCTCTTAGGTATACATATAAATTTGTAAACATTTGATCTTTGACTCTGAAACTATAAAATACTTGTCACATAAAATCATTTTTAAAAAAATTATTAAAATCATCTTTGGTTGCTGAATCTATTTTCTGCATAAGTGTTTTTCTTCATGAAAATACACTGTTATTCTCATGAATATTTATATATTGTGCTTGTAGGTAATAAGGACTTTATGACAGTTTACAGGCACTTGCTGTGAATATAAAACATACTATCAATTTGGGTTAAGGATTGAAAAAATAATATTCAACTCCAAGAATTAGGGACAAAGTCAACACTAAGAAAATGTGTTTCATTGATAACATTTTGTTTGTAAAGTAATAGCAATTAACATTTCACAGTTCTCAATTATAATTTACCAAATGTAGCATTCGCCACAAATTCTATGCACACATAAAATATTACTATAATACTAAAAGCCAATATATATTGTTTTTCCTAAAATGTATGGACCCAGGTCTGAGGCTTAATTTTATTTCTTTTATTAAGTAAAGTAATATTAAATATTCAATTAAGATAAAACCATATATATTTACTTACAGAGAGCTTTTATATGTAATAAAACTATACAATTTGGTGAGATTTTAGAACAAAGAGAGGATATGATCAAAACTCTGAAGGATTTGTCATGAATAACTGTCAAGAGAGATTTTTGGAAAGTAAAATAATAAAAGAAAAATTCTCTCAATCACGTATCTCTGCTCTGCAATATAGCCAGAGAATCTAAAGGACCATACAGCCCACAATCACTTGCCACGAGAGGCTCCATCCTTAATATTGGAGTCAGACCACAAAGGAGCCTAATATTCTACAGTCCCACAGGCATCAGAAATTCAATCACAAAAACCAAAAGCATGGAAAGCAAAATAAACATCATTCAGTAAGGACCAATTATCAGTTTTATTTACTTATACCCAAGGGGAACAAAATCAGTAAAGTGACAGACTGCCTTTTGTCTTAATAATTCCCACTGTTCAATCAAGCAGCCCCAGGTATCATCCTCACTTAGTGTAAGATGGGTTTGGATTTAAGACTTGATTTACGTGACCAACGAGCAGTCTCAGAGAGAAATGTCTACCTTGAGTGGAACTAGTCTTCATTTCGGCTGGGCAGAAATGACAGCCCTGCCGCCCCAGGTCCTAACCATCCAGTGAGAATGAAGGGATAAGCGATTTTATACCTAATGTATACCATCAATGAAGAGTGGGCATGAGCCCATACACACAGGCCTTTATGTAAACGCTTAGGTCACAGCAAGAATCTCCAGAAATAATCCAGTCTGGAGAAGAAAGCAGCATTATTCTTTCAATAAGTAGTAAGAGCCTTCTAGGGACCATCATGTGAATTCAAAGTTGAATACAATAGAGAAAAAAGCAAATATTTATTGAGTGTCTAGAATAAGTAACATATTACAACCTTAAATACATACACAATTAACCACAGTACATTTTTATTAGCCACAGTTTATAAATGAGGAATCTTAAGGTCAATGTCCTTAAGGATACTTGTCCCAGATGGCACAGCTAGTAAGTCACTATGCCCTGATTCTACCCCTCGATGACTCAGGACTACGTCAATTCCATGACACCATCCTGCCTTCTACTGTCAGGCTGATCAGCAGTTATCTGTGAGTCAGGTTGTGTTCATCAGAATCATAAGTAGGATTCATCCTACCCGAATAACTGCCTATCAGTCTTTTACAGTTATCCTATTTAAGGGCCTTCCGTTTTGAGCTTTCCAAAGATAGACATCTGGGGAGAGGGCGGTGAACCAGAGAATCCATCAATTACACCAGGTATATTTTTCAAATAGTACCAACTCTCTTCCAAAAGCGTAAGTTCATTTATATGGCAGAAAGTACTTACCTGGAGCCTTGCCACGGTTAGTGATGCTAATCTCTTTACAATAGACTTTACTATTGGCAACCAAAGTGCCAAAATTAACTTCCTGATCAATTTCCAGTTCGCAGGATGGAATCAACCTAGGAGAGAAAAGAGGACTGCATAATGAATTTTAGCTATTATAAACTTGTGGTTAAATCGGCAGGGAGACGAGACATATAAAGACACAAGGCGCCCGGCCAGGTGTGGCTCAGCGGTTGAGCATCGACCTAGGATCCAGGCGATTGGGGTTCGATTCCCGGTCAGGGCACAGGCCCGGGTTGCGGGCTCGATCAATGGCTCTCTCATCATTGATGTTTCTCTCTCTCTCTCCCCCTCTCCTTTCCTCTCTCTGAAATCAATAAAGATATATTTTTTTAAAAAAAAGACACAAGGCACTTCTGTCTTAACTTTTGTTTTTTTAATCATTGCCCAAGGATATGTTTATTGATCTTAGAGAGAGAGGAAGGGAGAGAGAGAGAAACATTGATAGGTTGCCTCCCATAAGTGCCCTGACCTGGGATCGAACCCACAACCTTTTGGTGTATAGGATGATGCTCCAAACAACTGAGAAACCCTGCCAGGGCTGTCTTAACTTCTTAAGAGATATTTCAGTTTCTTTCCAGGTGTACCGGTGGCACATTTGTCAGTAAAAGAAATTGTGAAATAAAGACGTGAAAGCAAGATGAGACATATTTTTAACAAAGAAATCAGACTTTATGCATCTAAGTACATGGTATACCCTCTCAAGTACTCACCTGGATAGGCTACCCACATGTCTCAATATTTTTGTTGTTTAAAACACATTTTGGAATCTCCACCTAAGCCTATAAAATACATTCTTTAGACGCACCTCAAAAGGGTAGAACTGACCTTAACAAAGTAAAGTCGTTTAGATGATGCCAAATCTGATTAAACAAACAAAAGTATGATGCTATAAAATATCATTTAGGGACTAAAACAGGGTCTAAGTACAAAAAGATACAATTGATTCTTCATGTGTGTGTCTACTTTAAAGGGCTCGCTGTAGCACATCTGTAGCACACATTTTCATTCACTTTTAAAAATCCATTATAGGCCCGGCCGGGCGTGGCTCAGCGGTTGAGTGTCAACCTAGGATCCAGGCGATCAGGGTTCGATTCTCGGTCAGGGCACATGCCTGGGTTGTGGGCTCGATCAATGATTCTCTCATCATTGATGTTTCTCTCTCTCTATCCCTCTCCTTTCCTCCCTCTGAAATAAATAAAGATATATTTAAAAAAAAAAAAGAAAAAAAAATTATGTTTAAAAAATAAATAAATAAATAAATAAATAAAAATCCATTATAATCCTAATACATATTTCATACATAGTTTATAAAGCATCATGATATTGACTTGTTTGATACTAAAAAATTCCTGAAAGGCTTGGCTGGGTGGCTCAGTGGTTGAGCGTTGACCTATGAGCCTGGAGGTCAGTTCGATACCTGGTCAGGGCACATGCCCGGGTTGCGGGCTCGATCCCCAGTAGGGGGCGTGCAGGAGGCAGCCGATCAATGACTCTCATCACTGATGTTTCTCTCTCTCTTCCCTCTCCCTTCCCCTCTCTGATATCAATAAAAACATATTTTTTAAAAATTCCTGAAAGGTTAGTAAATATTATTATGGTTCCTATGTTACAGATGAAAAGCCAAAGACTTAAAAAGCCTAAATAATTTATCTAAAGAATTACCTGGATATACTGTTGGTGAATTTAGCCTTGAATCCATTGTTAGACTTCAAGTATATTACCCTTACAAACCTAACAATGCTAACAGCACCAATAATAACTATAGTAATAAATGACCTTTAGAGCCCTTAGGTTATGTGCCAGAAACATGAATTAAGTAATTTATTCTGCATAGAATACAAACTCCAAAATATAAATACAGACATCCATATATACACACAAAATACATAAATAAGAATACCTGAACAAAACATTCACAGATACTGCCTTATGCACTGGTGCCCTGGGCCTTCTTGATGGGATGTGTTTTTTCCAGTGTCTGTGTACTATTGAGTAAACACAGACATTCCAGAGATCAGCCAGGACTGACCTATATATTGCTGAATCTTCTAAGGAATACCCATGTTCTTCTCATAAAGAGATTATCATTTTGTGACAGGAAAAGAAAAGATCCATGGCCTTACTGTACATAATTGCATTAATAAAGACAGACGTTAACTTGTTACACAAATAATATTAAGATGTGAAGCCAAACCTTTTTTCAAACCATTTCTCTGGCTGGCTGAAGGAAAGTATCTTAAGAACTTTCTCTCTCTTTCTCTCTCTCCCTCTTTCTGTCTCTCTCTCTCTCTCACACACACACACAGACACACACACACAGTTTATCTTAGTAGTAAGGGCTTGGTAACACAGTAATGTATAGCAGTTTCTCTGGCTTTCCTATTGGTTTCTTTTCCACCTGATTAAGAAGAGCATTTCCAATAACATTGTACATTTTATGTTAACAGAGAGTGTGGTTACCAGGGGCTGGGAGGTGGAGGAATTGGTAAGATGTTAGTCAAAGGGAACAAACTTGCAGTTAGAAGATGAATAAGTTCTGGGGATTTAATTCACAGCTTTGTGATTACAGTTAATAATGTATTACATACATGAAATTTGCTAAGAGACTAGATCTTAAATGTTCTCATCACAAATGAAATGATAATTCTGTGATATGATACCTCTATTACTACTGTTAGCCATTGCCACATGTGTTTTCATGTATATGTACATATATACATATGCATAAATTATATACAAATTTACATACATAACTAATTGCTGGTGATCAGCAAAAAACTTCTAAGCATAAAAATGGCCCTGGACGATGTGGATCAGTCAGTTGGAGTGTCGTCTTGATTCCCAGTCAGGGCTCATATGAGAGGAAACCAATGGATACTTCTCTCTTTCTTTCCCTCTTCCTTCCTCTCTCTCTAAAAAAATAATAAAATAATAAAATAATGTAATACATTAGGATAGGATGCTATGGTGAGAAATGGAGTGGAAATACAAATTTGAGGGTAAAAACATGAGGTAAAATTTTCAACTATTAAACAAATTATTATGTTATTTCCATTTTACTGGACACATCTGAAAGAGACATGTAACTATCTTATAGAACATTTACTATATATAAGCAATTACATCTTTGCAACTATTCAAACCATAATGAAAAACCTTAGAAATTTTTAAATGTGCAAGAGGGAGATAGTTTTTAGGAATACACAGAAAACCAGTGTCCAAAAGGCACTGATTTCTCTACTAGAGCACTTGAAGAAAAGATCCATGGCCTTACTGTACATAATTGCATTAATATAGAGGTTAATAAAGAGGTTAACTCATTACACAGTTAACATAAAACGTACAAAGTTATTGGAAATACTCTCTGTTAACATAAAACGTACGCTATTGGAAATGCTCTTCTTAATCAGGTGGAAAAGAAACCAATAGGAAAGCCAGAGGAACTGTTATACATTACTGTGTTACCACGCCCTTACTACTAAGATAAACCGTGTGTGTGTGTGTGTGTGTGTGAGAGAGAGAGAGACAGAGACAGAGACAGAGACAGAGACAGAGACAGAAAGAGGGAGAGAAGGTTCTTAAGACACTTTCCTTCAGCCAGCCAGAGACATGGTTTGAAAAAAGGTTTGGCTTCACATCTTAATATTGTTTGTGTAACGAGTTAACCTCTTTATTAACCAGATAATACAAACTTCTGGTTTCTAGACAAGATTGCATAAATCCATTTTTCCATGTTTCTCCCCACTAAGCACAACTATAAACCACAGAAACGGTGCAAGAGGCAAGCAAAGGAGAATGGTGAAAGTCGATGAGAAGGTAGAGCTGGCTGGATTGGGACCCCAGGACTGGAGGAACAACACAGAAATGCAAGTTAAAGCTAAAATGAGACTCTGGTATTGAAAATGGTAAAAACTAAAAAAACAGTGACAGTAACAAATGCCAGTGAAGATGCAAAAGAACCAAACTGCTCATATATTGCTCACTGCGACGTAAAATGCTACAGCCGTTCTGAAAAGCCATTTAGAATTTTCTTTTAAACTAAACATGCAACTACCATATGACCCAGCATATGAAAATGAAATCTTGGGTTCGCACAAAATTTGTACATGAATGTTCATAGCAGCTTTGTTTGTGAGAGCCAACAATTGGAATCAGCCTTAAAAGCCTTCAACGGGTCAATAATTAACAAACTGTGGTATGTGTATACCATGGACTAGAACCCAAGATTACAAAGAAGCAAACTACTGATGTATTCAACGACTTGGTTGCATCTCCAGGGAGTTTTGTTGCTAAAAAGTCAATTCCAAAAAGCTATTTGAGATGAAAAACTTTTAGAAATGGAAGCCAGGTTAGTGGTTTCCAGTTTTAGGGATGGTGTTTGTGAGGCAGAAGAGAGGTGGGGGTGGTTAAAAAAATAACAGGAAGGATTCTTGTGGTGTTGGACCTGTTCAGTATCTTGACTGTGGTGGTGGATTCAAAATCCAGGCAGGTAAGAAAACTGTAGACTGTGAAAGGTCACACACACAACCGAGTTTAAAGCTGTGGCAATCTGAATACAATAGGTGGACTGCTCAATGTAAATTTTCTAGTTGTGGTGTTATCCTATTGTTTTGCCAAATGTTACCACTTGGGGAAACTGGGGAAGATGCACAAGCAATTGTGTCTTATAATTGTACTGGAATCTTCAACTGAATTTTTTAAAAAATAGAAACATGACAGCAAACTCACACACTATCCCTCCCCTCGGCCCTGTTCATCACACTTCAAGGGGGCAGTTCTGTCCCTACGTTGCACCCCTGGTGAGCAGCTGGCCTCTGATGAGAGAGGGCAAGGCATGGGAATAAGACAGAATCCATTCCCAAAGGCAGAAGCATCTTCAACACTTCTCTCCATATATAGCACGAACAAGCAAATGGGACTACTAGTCATAGGTGCTGTCAACGTGCAGCATGGGCCCAAAATGGCCCTACTTAAAATTCAATGTAAAATGTAAATTAAATATTTGCAACAGGTTAATAAGCTTGCCCCTTTCCTAACATGTATCACTGTTTGATTCCTATGCAGAATGGGATGGTGTGGGTGTACAAAATCAGAACTTCTCAACACTAAAGAGAACCAAAATAACTGCAGATCTAAATTTCGTTTATAAAAATGAAAAAACACAAGGGAAAAAATAAAAAGGCACATGTCTAATACCAAAATCATACCAATATTTCAATATTAATTCTGCTGCTCATAGACAAATAGAGCTTTTTTTTTTACTAAGTCTGTCTAAAGGTACCAAAAAATATGGGGGAAATAAAATAGGATGTGTATCAAGAAGAAAAAAGAATACATGTAATTGTTGAATGGTTTTTTAAATATGTTTTTTCACGATTTCAGAGAAAGAGGAAGGCAGAGAGAGAGAGACAGAAACATCAATGATGAGAGTCATGAATTGGTTGCCTCCCGCACACCCCCGTAACTGGGGATCAAGCCCGCAACCTGGGCATGTGCCTTGACGGGGAATCCAACCATGACCTCCTGGTGCACAGGTTGACATTCAACCACTGAGCCACGCTGGCTGGGCTGTTGGACATTTTAAAAGTTATCTTAATTTAAAAACATACCAGCCTGGCCTGCATGGCTCAGAGTTTGAGCATCAACCTAGGATCCAGGAAATCACGGTTCAATTCCCAGTCAGGGCACATGCCCGGGTTGCCAGCTTGATCCCCAGCAGGGGGCGAGCAGAAGGCAGCCGATCAGTGACTCTCTCATCATTGATGTTTCTCTCTCTCTCTCTTCCTCTCCCTTCCTTTCTCTGAAATCAATAAAAAAATAAATAAATAAAAATTAAAAATAATAGCGAACTAGTCTTCATTTATTTTAAACCACAGTTTGCTAAAATTGTGTCCTTTAAGGTCAACTGTAAGGAAACTATAGATACAACAAGCCCTTTTCGTCAGGGAATATAAAGAATATTACTTTGACCCTAATTTTAATTTAAAGTGTGCTCAAAATGTCAGCATGAAATATGAGGAATACTTACCCAATAAGAGGGACCTCTACTGCTTTGTTTCCTATTGCAATAAGTAGTTGGTCAAAAGTGTCTTCATCTTTATTAGGATGATATTCCACCATAGCTGTCATCTGAAGTCCAGAAGCAATTTCTTTATCCACACTTGGTAAAACCAGTTTGAACTTCAGTGGAAGAAAAAAATCAAATTACACATCTTAACCCCTAATAAGGAAATAATGTGAGCAACTGTAGTTAGGAGTGTACATTATTTCAAGAGCTATATCAAGACATAGGCAATATTGCTACCCTGAAGGCAAATACTTACTGACATATTTACACCTATCAGATTCTACATTCTTCAGATATGCTTTGAACTGAAAATGACAATGTAGTCAGTTGAGAAATATGTAAAGGCTGAGGGGTACTCAAATATAGAAAAAAAGGAGGAGCAGTCTAATAAAAATGTTGCTCAGTCATGTATACATGCATAATACATACATGTATACATACAAACACACAGGCATACATATACGATGTCCCCAAAAATGTATACACACTTTGAATAATTATAAAGGCAGTGTTTATTAACACACATTTCATTTTCAAAATTGAGCTATCAGCTGTTGAAGTGTGTATATACATTTTTGGGGGGACACCGTGTATATACATCCACATATACATATAGAATTTTATATACTTTCCACATGGGAAGTCAGACTTCATAATTTTGAGGAAATGTAAAAAAGAAATATGCCGGGGAGGGCACTTTTGTTCTTTTCAAATATTTCCTAGACTCCAGGAAAAAAGGTAAGGGGCAAAGAAAGAGAAGAACTATCTTATCTGTTGAGCACTTATAATATGTCAAGCATTCTACATCTCAATGCACTTCCACAGTCCTGTAAGGCTGAGATCATGGATCACAACATATAGATGAGGAAACTGGGTCCTGTAGAGTGAAATTACTGTCTAAGGTCACTCAGGCAGTGAGGATTCAAAACACACACCTATCTGCCTCTAAAACTTAAGCTCTTTCCACACAGCTAGAGTCCCTCTCCTGAATACATAATCTCTTTAGAGAAGCAGACTATATGCCCCTCGAAAGTTAAATAATGTAAGCCAGGGACTAATTAAGTATCATATGAGTGATTCAGCCATAAGTATCATGCAAATCCTTGAGAGAACATGATTACTACTAGGGAGAAATGCACTTGGCCTAGGCTTAGAGATGGATGTAAAAGGTGGAAAAGCAAGAAAGGTGCTCCCTGTGGGGGCAGAAATATTTCAGACACAAGCAGAGAAAAGAGTCAACAAAATAATCTCTCAGCAGGCAGCTAATAAGCTAGCCTCGCTGGGCAAAGAGCTTCAATCAGTACCGATGGAGGTCCAGTTGAAATGAATTATTCAGGGCTTTCAATGCTAGGCGGGGTCTAAGCCATGGAGAATATAGAGCACTGGAGTGATTCGTTGGTAACCACTGGTCTAAAAGCATCACAATCCAGCAAACAATGATTCGGATACCTCGTAACTACCACACTCCAACTCAGTTACGAAACAGAAAACAATAGATTGCTCCCCATAATGACTTTTGGGTGCTGCCAGTCCCCAGATCAGGTGTGGCTATCTTCCCTGAAAGTAGCTGTGTCTTCAAGAAAGGAAACCAGGGCTTCAGCTGCATGTGCTTATGGTCAGACTACTAGTTGCTGAGCACTTTGAGTGGAGTGCAAAGGCTAGTTTAAGGCACCTTCGTGCTCTTAGGAGCTTCTGAACTGACGTTTAAGGTCAAATTAAGATTTACCAGGAGTCATGGGCACACAAGTCCAAACTATGATGAATGTCTGTAAATGCAAGTGGTATCCAGTAGGAAAGAGTAATTTGGAGGTAATGTAAGAGGCTTGTTAGAGAAAATGAGAACTCACATTGACCCTCAAAAATGGGTGGAATTTAGCCCAGCCGGGCGTGGCTCAGGAGTTGAGCATCAACCTAGGATCCAGGAGATCGCAGTTCAATTCCCGGTCAGAGCACATGCCTGGGTTACGGGTTCGATCTCCAGTCAGAGGCATGTAGGAGGCAGCCGATCAATGATGACTCTCTCATCACTGATGTTTCTGTCTCTCTCTCCCTCTCCCTTCCTCTCTCTGAAGTCAATAAAGATTTTTTTTTTTAAAAAGGTGGAATTTGGAAAGGACTGATTTTTGCTGGAAGGAGAATAAAACCATAGGTCAAAAACTTTTTAAAAGTCTGAGCCATTGGAGTAAGGGGACAATTACAAGTAAGGCTGATCTGACTAAACCAGAGGCCACACGAGTCAGGATTGTGTTTTCAAAAGTGTGTCTTCTTTATTTTCTACCAGTAACCCATAGTAGACGGTATATAGCGCTCCCCATGACATATAGTAAGTACTCACTACATAGATAATGCAGGATATTGAGCCAGGGTGCAAACCAAGTACTACCATGTATTAGAATCCTTTTTAAAGTCATTATAACAGTGATGATGACAATGCTCTCTACCTAGCATAGCACCTTGTTTTTCTTTTTTCCTCCAAGTCAGTTACTGCGTTTTTTGCTAATCTATCTGTTCCCTCCTTCCCATTATACCCATGAAGGATCTGGATGGAGTGCAATAAAAGAGAAGTTCACAGTCATGGGCTCATGGCTTTGGCCTCTAACTAGTAAGCCTATCTGGCCATTCTCTTGTCAATGTCAAGGCCTGTGCTCTAAACAGTTTTTCCTTTTAACTCTAAATACAAACCAAAATAAAATAAACTATGCCATTTTTCTATCTTCATAAAACCAGGAGACATCCATAAAATAGTGCTGGCCCACACCTGGGATTACTGCCAGCTTGAGCTTAAAAAGGAAGTATTTTCAGATATACAGTCAATTATCCAATAAATGTGTAGTAAGGTAGTGAAATAATAAACTTTCCCCCTAATTATATAGTATTGGGAGGAATGGGGTACTTTTTGATGTAATGAGCAGTTAATAGTCTCTTGCGATGTACTATGAGAAAATAAACACATGACTATTGTTAAAACATACAAATACAAAAATGAACACGAAATTCCATTTATATGAAAGTCAAGAACATGCAAAATTAATCTGTGGTGTTGGAAATCAGTACAGTGATCATCTCCATGGGGCGATTACTCCAGGTATTGTAGGAAACCTTCTAGAGTACCAGAAATATTCCATGATTTGATCCAAGTGGTGGCTCATGGATGTATACAGATATATAAATTCATCAAGCTTTACTTTCAAGATTTGGGCACTTTAGTGTAGATAAATAGTACATCAATTTTTTTAAAGTGTGAAAGGTAGGACATGAAAGTCCTGTTTCTCGTTGCCCTCCTAATCACTATTGGACATTTTCCTATGGATGTTTGAACAAATACGTGCAAGCCTAACCAAAAAAAAAAAAAAAAATCAGACCCCTTTCCATTTCTGTACAAATAAGTCCAGCTGAATTCAATACTATTAATCATTAGGAATATCCCATGAAACCAATCATTTATATATCACATATCAAAATTTCTTCTCTCCTTTCCTATACTGAAAGTCTCCCAGATAACAGGTGATCACAGTAAATTAATAACCATACATACACACCCACGCTCTAAAGTAACAGTGAGATAGAGATGAAATTCTGTCAACTTTTAGGTCAGATGATGGGGACAGCCTCTCAGAACATTAATTTTGCTGATGATTAGACTTTGACACCCTGGGAGTTTCTAAATCCTATGAGGCCAGGACTATGTCCGTCGTGCATTCCTCATACCTACTACCTATTATATAGTAGGTGCTCAACAAATATTTGTCGAAATGTGAATAATAAACCTTCCCACTGTCCCAAAACATCTGGAGTAAACAGGCACTTTATGATTCAAAGGTTTGTCGTCATAATTCTACAGTATCACGCGGCATAGATTCTGGGCTGAGCGGAGACAGACGTGGAGGCCCCTTCCCCTCTTTCCAAACTCAGAACGAAGGAATTGAGAGGTTCTCCATCGAATCTCCCCACCCTCGGTCCCAACCCTAAGTAAAAAAAAAGATTAACAAAAAGTCGAGCACACATATACATAGAGACACTTAAGTCACGGATCCCCAGGAAACCCAGGCCTGCCCCCCACCCCCGCAGTAGCCCAGGGCCTGCTCCCCAGGACAAAGCAGGCGCCCAAGGGGCGAGGCAGCCTCCGAGCACAGCCCTCGGAGGTCCCGCCCTGAGCACCCCCGGGTGTCTCACCTGTGGCTTGACTGGATCCAGAAACCGGATCTTCTGGTTGCTGCGGCCCAGATTGTGGACCGTGATCGGCTGGCGGTACACCCTCCCCGCCGCCGTGTCCTGGAACTTCAGCTCCGAAGGAGTCACCCGCAGCTGCAACTCCTTGGGAGTCTCCACTTCCCGGGGGATCAGCGAGCCCCTGGGCGTGCTCATGTCGCCCCTCCAAGCAGCCCGCCAACAATCGCGCGCGCTTGTTCCACCGAGGCCTCGAGCCTGCGCCGTCGCTAGGCAACCGCCAGACGCCGCGCGTGCCCACCGGGCAGCGCCGGAACTCGGCGGGTGGAGACTGCAATGCACAAAGCGGGCGTCTGGAGGAAGAACCCCGGCATCACGGGGTCACCCGGAGCGCTGGAAAACATGCCACGGCAGCCCAAATCCCAGGGGCATCTCACTCGGCCATGGCCGGGAAGAATCTTAAGATGGCACTGGCAGGGACATGTTCCAGGACCATTTCTTAAACGGCAGTGGAAGTGATGCGCCCACGGGGTCTATTAAAGCAGCAAGATACAACAGTAAGGGAGGGATTCAATGGAAACTGAGTCAGGCCCCCCTAGGGTAGTCCTACTGGGTGGCCTTTAGGCTAAGGTAGAGCTGGGGCAGGGCCTAAGCATCTGTATTAGTGATAAGGTCCCAGGTGACTCTAAAGGTGCAGGCCCAGGGACCACGCATTGAGTATAGAGGCGCCAGGAACTTTGTTAACTATTCCTGTTCCTTCATTTGTGAAACGAAGGTGCTGCTTAGAAAACAGATCAAACATCTTCATAGCTAGATGAGCACCTTTCCAACAGGCCCAGGTTCACACCGCCCAATCCCTACTCTCTCCTCATCTGCATCTGCTGTGATGGTCTTAGGGTTTCAACACATTAGGAGAGTGGTATTTCCCTGCCTTAAATCTGCCTCTTATCATAACTCTGTCACACTTCTTCCACACACCTTTATTAATTTGGAGCTAAGCGCTGCAGAAATGGCGTTTACTTGTGTTTCTTATTTTAAAAATTACATGGAATTCCCCACTCCATATATAGGGTGTTCCCCCAAAATGGATACACACACTGAATAATTATAAAGGCAGTGTTTTTTAAAAATACATTTCATTTTCAAAATTGAGCTATCAGCTGTTAAAGTGTGTATACATTTTGGGGGACACCCTGTATATATGTATATATGTATACATATATATGTATATACACACACATGTATGTGTATATACACACGTGTGTGTGTATAGTCCTTTTATTTCCTCCTTGCCACTGCACTTGATTTTCACTCTGAGGGGACTGACTTTTCCATCTGCTGGCCAAACAGTTACTCATCCCTCAAAACCTAAATATCTTTGTAAAACCTTTCCCACAACTGTTTTACAAGATTCTCACAGTATCAAGATGATAAATAAGTTATTACTTCACTTTAAAGTTGCCCTGAATATAAAGACCTGTTGGAAAATTTCTTGGAATTGTAGTTGTCAATACTTCAAAATAGTAGAAGTAATGGTGTTGATGATTACTATTTGCAAATTCTTATGAATTGATAGATTAAAAGCATATGCATCACTTTCAAAATTCTATATATCATGACTTCATAAAGGGGAACTTAGCTGGATTTTTATTCTAATCACTACTATGATATCATAATACAAAGCTGGTCCATTTTTTTGAGCCCCTTTGCAGGGAAATTTTACAATGCTAAAGGGATAACAGTGGCCCAAGGAACTTGGCTGAACCAAGATCACTGTCTATGCAAAGTCCTCCTGCAAAAATTGGAAACTCCAAACACATGTCAAAATTGTCTTCTGTCCACTCTCATGAATACTGGCGCAAGTCTGGCTTCTATGTAGACTCTAAAGATATAGTGGTTCAAATCGAATGGGGAACAGTTTTGTTTCCCTGTTCTGTTGATCCTCTCATCAAATAAAGGTGTCACAGAGCTCTCTTCAAGGTCACCAAGCCTAAAGCTCAAGCCACTGCCCAGAGTAACTAGAGTTAAGCCTCCTTGATTTGTTGCCCACATTTTTATCTACTCTCAGTGTAAATTTTAGATGAGCTTGAAAGGAAGCAGAGTTTGCCACCCCAAAATACGCCTTTTGGGATTTTGATTATTTTAAGCTGGTTATTTTAAGAAACAAAAGGCTCAGAAAGAAACTTTGGGCCTCCCCCCTTTACCTGCTTGAAGGAATTCAGGTAGAAAAACCTGCTTAAAGGAAGGGAGCTCTCACCCTAGTGTAACATAAAGGAAGTGTGGCAGACAGAGAGGAACCAGTGAAGTCTGTCTGTCTGACTACCCTCTGTGTTCCATTGTTCTGGGTGGCCAGGCCAGAATTTGTTTACCAAAAGTTTGCTCTTTTCATCTACCTGTGAACTGCCTACTTTCCTTTGAAATCTCAGAGCCCTGCCTCCCTCTCCTTACCCAGAATGGAACATAAGCCTCAACTGCCCACTGTGTCCTCAGGTCTCATATTCTTACGGAGGCCCTTGTGTTCATAGATAATAAATTTTCTCCTGTTAACCTGTCTCATGTTAATCTGATTGTTAATCCGGCCAAAAGAACTTGGAAAGGTAGGAGTAAAATTAATTTTTACACTCCTACAAAGTATCATTTACCTCCAAATTCTCTTGTCCAATTTCTATTATCAAAATAGAATGGCAATATAAAGGCATATTTTGCTGAACTGTAAGCTGTTTTTAGCCAAATTTTTAAACTATGCATGATTATGTAGTTACTTTAAGGTTGGACAAAAACACATAACGACAAGATATTTTACACAATAGTAATTCAAAAGATAAACAGTACCTTATATGTGTCATTTTTTTAATCTTCTGGAGTATTCATGGAAAATAATGTTGAATATGTATTATGGATGAAACGTGTGTTCATCTTTGTTCAAATTGCCAAGGCAGGATATTTGGCATGACTTGTGTGTAAAAATCAAAGTAGGCATTCTACTGGAATAATTATATATTATAAATAAGGTTAAGTTTTATTTCTCATTATAATAAAGTAAAGCATGATGAATTTATGTATATGTGTACACCCATGTAGCTACCACGTGGATCAAATCATGGAATATTTCTGGTACGCTAGAAGGTTTCCTACAATACCTGGAGTAATCGCCCCATGGAGATGATCACTATACTGATTTCCAACACCACAGATTAGTTTTGCATGTTCTTGAGTTTCACATAAATGGAATTACGTGTTCTCCATTTTTGTATTTGTATGTTTTAACAATAGTCATGTGTTTATTTTTTCATAGTACACCACAAGAGACTATTAACTGCTCATTACATCAAAAAGTACCCCATTCCTCCCAATACTATATAATTAGGGGGAAAGTTTATTATTGCACTACCTTACTTCACATTTATTGGATAATTGACTGTATATCTGAAAATACTTTCTTTTTAAGCTCAAGCTGGCAGTAATCCCAGGTGTGGGCCAGCACTATTTTATGGATGTCTCCTGGTTTTTATGAAGGTAGAAAAATGGCATAGTTTATTTTATTGTGGTTTGTATTTAGAATTAAAAAGAAAAACTATTTAGAGCACAGGCCTTAACATTGACAAGAGAATGGCCAGATAGGCTTACTAGTCAGAGGCCAAAGCCGTGAGCCCATTACTCTGTGAACTCTTTATTGCACTCCATCCAGATCCTTCATGGGTATAATGGGAAGGAGGGAAGAGATAGATAGTTTAGCAAAAAATGCATTAACTGACTTGGAGGAAAATCCAGCCATGCAGTGTGACCCAAAGAAACGGTGAGATAATAAAATTGTTTTAAGTTGCTAAATTCGTGGTGATTTGTTATGTAATAAAAAATCAATAGCGTGTTATGAGTATTTTTTTTTTGTTACTCTCTTAGGTAGGAATATTTCCATGCAGTTTAATTTTCATTCCTCTTATTATGATAGAAATGAACACCTTTTCATCTATTTAAGCCATTTTTATTTCCATTTTCTATATTCTGTCTATACAAAGAAGTTTTCTTGCAACGTTGATTTACTTTTTTATCAATTTTGGAAGTGCTTTTTATATTAAGGAAACTAGCTTTGCTTTTGATAAGATTTGCAAATATATGTGTGTATCTATCTCTATTTTGGGGGGTTTTGTTGTTGTTTTATATTTTTCTAATAATTGTGATAGGGGCACTTATAATGTCCAAAGATTGAGCACCTGAATTAATCTAAAATATAAATATATTACTTATAAAATTGTAGAACACATCTACTGATGTGAGCAGGGATTTAAGTGTCTTTTTCCTTAAGTTTCTTTTCTCTAGGCCTTTTAGCCCATATAGTCCCCTTGACTCCGGACAAAGCAGTTAAGGAGGTGACACAGCTGTGGACGTTGTATCCTCGAGCAGAGGTGGTCAGGCCGGCCCAGGCCCGACCAGGGGTCAAGATATCATCTCATCGAGATATCTCCAGAGGACCAAGAACAACAGCTGACGCCTGGGGACCCCTGGGGCTGCACAATAGCTGCATTCCGCTCCCAGGCTCAGTTTACCCCATTTCCCTATTAACCCTATCCCTAGGGCCATTGCTTAAGGCAGGTTTGGATGCTCCTATGCTCCCTGTCTTCTTGGGTGGCCAGCCTTCTCAATAAACACCTTCTGTGATTCAGCCCTGCCTCCACTGAATTGTATTCATCAAATATATCATTATTTTGTTTTATGACCTCAGGGTATCTCAAAGTATTCTTATTTGTTCTTAGAAAGGCCTTCCTTGTGCCAAGATCATATAAAAGTGCTTCACGGTTTCTTCTGGTGCTTTCATTGTTTTGTTTGCAATATTTACATCTTACAGCCTTATGAAATGTATCCTACTGTAAAAGTGAGATATCAATCCAACCTACTCCAAGATCGTTTATTGAATAGCTTACAATAAGAATTTCAAAATATGGTCCATCAAAAGTTTTACTGAGTGCCGGATTAGCAGCAGGTAACAACTGGACATTAATTCTCTTTAATTATCTCTAATTCTCACTTTCTAACACTGAAACCCCACAGGATATTATTTGTGATTTGTTATATTATTACATATATATGTGTATATATGGAAATATCTATTTTTTTATTATATATGTGAAAGTTAATGTAAACATTATATACTTTCCATTCTTTCCTTCTCAGAATATACCTCAAAAAGAAAAAGATATCTC